GCGCTCATCACCGGCAGCACCCATTCATCCGCCCCGGCCTCAACCAACGGCTGGAGTAACGGTCGGTTCCAGAAGAAACGGTCGTCCGCCCGTTGCCACAGCGGCAAGAGGAGTTTCCGCGCCTTGGGACGGGCGGACGTTGCGCCGGGGAGGAGGGAGGAAGGGAAGGAGGAGGGGGAGGAAGAGGGAGAAGGGGGTTGCAAAAGATCGGCACGGCGTTGCGCTGTAAGGGTCACGTCACACGTGGACGAGAAATACAGGTCATGGGTCCGGAAGGCCATCCGCAGCAACGCCAAGTGCCGGGCATCAGCTTCCTCCTCCTCCTGCCTTTCCTCCCCGGCTGCCCCTGCATCCCCCATCCCTTGGTCCTTCTCTTCGTCGAAATCTACGCCCATCTCGGGACCCGTTACGAGCCTCTCCTCTTCTATCTCTCCCTGGTCGCCTGATGTGATTGCCGAAGTCTCTGTCGTCTTGACCTTCCTTCTCCCCTCCCCTCCCTCTACCCCTCCCTCCTCCCCTCCTTCCTCCCCTCCCTCCCCTTCGGGCCTCACTAGTCCACCGCTGCCGTTCAGGTTGCTGGTCCCAACACTGTCATGAGTCCTAATGTCACGACATTTGTTGACGCCAGCACTACTGATTCTGATCAGGGTTACCTTGGTAATCAGACGAAGCTCCATCCCGTGGCCCCGGTACCTCTCCTCGGAGCCCGTGATCACCGCCAGGTATGGACCGGAAGGCAGATGGAAGAAGCCGTACACACCTTCAATGGGCAAGGAGGATGAGCGGGAGGGAGGAGAGAAAGGGGCGGAGGACGAGGGAGAGGGAGGGGGGAGGGGGTCTGTCCGGGGCTGCTTCCTCACGCGCAGAGGGTCGCTGCCGGAGGAAAGGGTTCTAGAAATGACAACCACGTCGTTGCTCAGCCTCGATTCTAGCACGAGGACATCTTTGGTGATGTGCAGCTGGCGTAAAGCCCGACTGCCCGTGAGCCTTGCAGTGGAGGAGGTGGAGGGCGGCCCCCACGGGACAGGGGAGGTTGTTGAGGTCGTGGGAGGAGTGATGCCTGCAGGGGAAAAAAGGGCTGGGGAGCTTGCATTACCGATACCGCCTCGAACCGTGACCAGCCATTTACAGGGTGATGGGCAATATGTATGGTGAGCTGCCGTGCTCTGATAGGACGAAGTGCTTTGAAGGATGACCAGGAAAACGAGGAGGAAGAGGAGTCTCGAGCGCTTTAAGGCAGGCTGGTTATGCCTAACGCGCATCTCCTCAAACTGACTGGCGCCAGCCACCTGTTTCTGTTTCACAAAATATCGATGCTTGTGGTGACGTTGCCAATGCCGAGTTCGTACCGCAAAAACTAGTCACGAGTAAGGGGGGGGGTGCGAGGCGCGGCGATCACGAGGTGAAAAGGAAGCTGCAGGTCGTCCAGACAAGTGGGGCTGATAAATTTACCACAGCGTTCTCAATGCACTCGTTCCAGCAGCCTCTTGCTTCTCTGACGAAGCATAAGATCCACGTCAAGTGCCTGAACTATGTGATGGAGAGTTTGAATGAGTGCGAGCTGGCAGCTTTACATTGAATACCTCTCTGTCCGGTTCAACTTGGCTTTGACGGGTGTATGTCGTTTCCATGATTTTGCTACGGTATCCTTTGATGTCGATGTTTCACGCCCCTCCCTCTCATATCTTTCATGCACACAATACAAATAGAAACCATGGCACTTCCACGGAGAAGACCGCGCAAGACACGCCTTTGCTGGCGGCTTTCCTTCACCATCATGTTTCTGATGGTGAGGATACCCCCTGTTCCATTGACCCCCCCCCTTTGTGACCTTACAGGCTCCTTGACATTGAGCAATGACGTCCTCATGTCAAACAAATGATCTCAATCCACACTTTGTGCCATCGGTCCAGGCGTTTCGCTTCATTTACCTGTGTATTTTTATCTTCTTTTCCCTTCCCATCCACCCGGACGGGTCTCCCTCATCAGATTTGTGTGTTCCATTCTGTCTGCGCCTATTTCACCCCCTTTGGTACCAAGGGCCTTCGACATAGCCGCACTGATCTTTCTGCAAGTACCAACGGTGACGGTAACAGCAGAAAGAGCGGCTCTTCGGACCCTGAGGCTGGCAAAGGGGACCCTCCGCGCTTTAAACGCCTTGCAAGAAAGATGTCATCGAAATCCTTCTCTTTCAATCAGATACCGGGCAGGAAGAGGGCCGCAGACAGCAGCGATAGCCCAGACAGAAGTAACACCGCTCGAATGCGTCCTTCTCCTCCTTCCTCCTCTCCTTCCTCTTTCCATGAGCCCAGGGGCAGCGGGCCCATATCGGAGGCGGTGGGGCAGCACTTGACCCCTGAGGCGGCGGCACCCCCGGAAATTTTCGACGTGGACGCCCGTCCGAACAGCCAGAAAGCCAGAAAGGTGGCGTCGTCACAATCTCAAGGGAAGGGACACCGAGAAGAGGGATTGGAGGAGGAAAATGGGGCGGGGGTGTGGCAACGGCCTTCCCGAGTCCAACAGCGAAGGGAGAAGAGGCAGCAAGCGGCTATGGACGAAAAAATGCGCCGGGTGAAGATCCAGCGTTTCGGGAAGGAAGGTCTGCTGTTTAAGGACGGCCTCGCAGGGGGACAGGCGGGGGGAGGACGGGACGATGCCTTGCAATGCGAGCATTTTGGGGCCTGCTCTGGGTGTTTCTATCGAAGCGGCTTGGTCGAAACCCCCGTGATGGAAAACGCCCGCGTTTTTTTCCAACGGGTCGCCCGGTACGACAATTTTAGCCTGGGTCTGGCCACGGGCGTGCACGGGTGGCGGACGCAGGCGAAATTGGCCGTGGCCCCGCTTTCTAAGTGGGGGGGATGCCAGCTTGGTTTGTACGAAGAAGGGAGCCACCGGGTGTTGCCGATCCCAAACTGCCGCGTCCACCACCCCAGCATCAATCGGGCCGTCCAAGTGTTGACGGAGGCGACCGTCACGATGAAGACGCGGGCCTTTGACCCGGCTTCTCTGGGGGGTTCCCTCCGCTACGTCCAAGTCGCCGTAGAGCGTCGGACCGGGCGCATTCAACTAACCTTAGTCTGGAACGCCCCGGGGAAGAAGGAGGCAGGCGGGGAACTCTCCCGCTTGTTGAAGGCCTTGAAAGCCGCCGATACCTCGGGTGAATTGTGGCACTCGATTTGGGTGAACTTTAGGACGGGACCGGGCAACACCATCTTCGCCCGGGAGGCAAGGTCGTGGACGAAGCTCTTTGGCGCCGACTTTCTCACCGAAAAAATCGGTCCGTCCCAGACTTTGTTCTACCTGACCCCGCAGTTGTTCCGGCAGGGAAATTTGGACGGCTTTGAAAAGCTGGTGACGCGTGCGCAGGAATTCGTGCCGGCACAAAGCGTCGTCTGTGAGTTGTACGGCGGGGGGGGAGTGATCGGTCTGAATATGCTGGGAAAAGCGGCCGCCTTGCGTTTTTCCGACATCAATCCCTACCTGGGACAGTGCGTAGACAAGACATTGCAGGTATTGCCGGCGAAAAAGCGGGAGAAAGTGTCGTTCATCATCGCCACGGCCCTGGAGGCCTTAGAAGCCGGACACGCCGACGGGGCGACCGTGCTAATCGTGGACCCCCCGCGGAAGGGCTTGGAGTCAGAGGTGTTGGCTCATTTGGTGGACAGGAAAGACCCGTACGCGGGGACGCTGCGGAGAATCGTGTATGTTTCCTGCGGATTCGAGGCGTTGAAGCGGGACGCGGTGGCCTTGATGGACAGTGGCTGGCGCCTGGTGCATGCGGAGGGCTTCGTCCTTTTCCCGGGGTCGGACCATTTGGAAACGTTGGCGGTGTTCGACCGGACGCGGTGAGCACGCAGTAGACCTTAAAAAGTAACATGTACATGCTTTGAACGAGTTTGAGTCGCATTCGTGGAGTATAACCTTCTTTTTGCTTTAAGTGCCTGTGGGGGTATCCTAAACCTGATAGGGAGGTTATTATTAAACTAGTGACTAGAAGTAGGGGAAGCAGCCGCCGCCCATCAAAGCGATACACAAATCCATGATCCTGGCAATTGTTAAAAAACATAGTAAGGCTAGGGGATGGCGAGGTCCAGAACCACGGTCTGGACGCACAGTGGGGTCTAATTCTTCGCCCATTCGGCCCATTTTGCGGCCTTCGGTCAAGATTCTTGGATTCCCAGCGCAGAGATGTGCCACTGCATCAGCACATATCCTCGACATCGACGTTAACACGAATTTGAACGGCACCCTTTCTAGCATACGTCTAGGTTACTCGACCACACGACCTTATTTTAAGCGACTGCCAATCATGACCGATGATGTCCACCGCCCGTCTCCAGGAGCCCTCCAATCCCTGATCTATACGCCGCGTTCGCCTCAGTCAGAACAACCTTCGTTGGAAGTATTGGACCAACTTCTGCTACCGAACAAGAAAGCATACATACCGGTGAAGACGACGCAGGATGCGTGGAAGGTCATCCGTGATATGAATGTGAGGGGTGCGCCTTTAATCGCCATAGTCGCGGTGCTGAGCCTAGCGGTGGAGATGAGCGCAAAAAGTAACGTGCAGGGGAAGGACGGCTTTGCCTCGTTACAAGCAGCAGCGGCATGGTTACAGGAAGCTGTAGTCTACTTGAAAACGTCTCGACCCACTGCAGTGAACCTTTTTACCGCCATGGACGAAGTCCTGCTTTTGAGTCAGGCTACCACCAAGAAACATGACGCGGTAGGGGCCTGCGTCCAAAACGCAGCCCCATTGGTCAGCGCGGTGGTAAGGTTCGCGGAGCAGATGCTCAAGGAAGACGTGGAATCAAACCAGGCAATAGGAGACCACGGGGCCGCTGCCATCTTGGCAAATCTCTTGCCAGGACAAGGAGTGAAAGTCCTCACGCATTGCAACACAGGGTCCTTGGCAACGGCAGGGTACGGCACGGCCCTAGGCGTCATTCGATCACTGCACAAAGAGGGGCGGCTGGCACGTGTCTTTTGCACAGAGACGCGTCCCTACAACCAAGGAGCTCGTTTGACCGCCTTCGAACTGGTCCAAGACCAACTTCCGGGTACTTTAATCACGGATTCGATGGTCTCCTTTCTCATGGCCACGCAGGGCTTGGACGCGATTGTGGTGGGTGCGGATCGGATCGCAGCGAACGGCGACACGGCCAACAAAATCGGGACGTATCAATTGGCAGTGACAGCGAAACATCATGGGGTTGCATTTTATGTGGCAGCGCCGTTCACGTCGTTCGATCTCTCCTTGGCATCCGGTGATCAGATAGAGATTGAAGAACGGCCCGCGCGGGAGCTGACGCAGGTGCAGGGGATTCAAGTGGCGCCCCAAGAGATTGCGGTATGGAATCCAGGCTTTGATGTGACCCCCGCCTCCTTGATCACAGGGATCATCACAGAGAAGGGCGTGATCCACCCTTTCCCCTCTGCTGGGGCTACAGACGCGAAGCCACGCGTTCCAACACAGGAGACGGGCGAAGCCAGGAGGAAAAGCAACGGGACCGTGGGCCATGGAAGGCGGATGACGTTTGACATCCCGGGCTTTTTGAACGGCGAGGGGGCGCATCAAATACCATCGTCTTTGCCGGATGCCGCAGCCCCGACCCCTTCCATGGAGTTGGACAGCGCCAACCTCCCATCCCCCGCCTCAGGATACGAGGCTTTGAGCGAAGAGAACGTGGCGCTTTTCCTTGAGAAACACGTGCGAGACGTGTGGGACCTGCTGGGGGCCCGGACCGGGGCCGAGGTGGAAATCTCCGAGGTCGGAGATGGGAATTTGAATCTAGTGTTCATCGTCAGAGGTCCGAAAAACACCGTGGTCGTCAAGCAAGCCCTGCCCTACGTGCGTTGTGTGGGGGAATCGTGGCCCTTGACGCTGGACCGGGCCTTCTACGAGGCCGCCGCATTGCAGGAGGAGGGCCGTCACACGCCAAGGCTGGTGCCAGAGGTACGGCGGGAAAGGAGGAGGGTGTGGACGATCCCTGAGCATCTTTTTATCAAATTCTGGGCCATGTTTTGCGATCCTTCATGCTGTGACTTGGGCTGACGTCTTCCCCGCATGGTACCTCTCAGGTCTACTATTCTAATAGGGCACTGGCCCTGATTGTCATGCAGTTCGTGCCTCCCCCCCATATCATCCTTCGGAAAGCCCTGATACGAGGCGACGTCCTTTCTACCCTGGCAGCGGACTTGAGGTGCGTGTGTCGGGCGAACTGCTCGGAATCTTCTCCGTGTCCCCCTGGTTGAGGATGCATGGGCCGACCCGCCCAGCTACCTCTCCTATTCCCGGTTTGCCGGCACACAACGTAGCGTCAATCAATAACAACAACGTCCAAACAGACGAAAGTATACCGCACGCACTCAGACTCCCTTCTTGCAATCCCTTTCTTTCCAATCCCCACGGCCTGCCCGCGCCCTCGCTCTCAGCGACTTTATGGCACGGAACCTCTTCTTCACTTCCTCCTTCCACCACTCTGGCCCTTCCAAACGGGAGGCGGTGGCCTTCTGGTCAGGAAACCATGGTTTGTGCGCCTTGACGGAAGCTGTCGTCTTCACCGAACCCTACTGCCCGGAGGTGGCGCACAATCGTTGGACCAGCCCGGCATTGGACGAGACGGTCGCCCAGCTTCGACAAGACCAGGCTTTAAAAGTGGCTGTGGGGAAATTGAAAGCGAAATTCATGGATTCCACGGAAGCTTTGTGCCACGGGGACTTACACACGGGTTCCGTGATGGTCAAGGAGGGATCCACCGTCGTAATCGACCCCGAATTCGCGTTCTATGGGCCGATGGGCTTCGAGTGCGGGGCTCTCATGGCAAATTTCTGGCTGAATTATTTCAGCCAGGCGGGGCGGGCATCGGACGGGGGAGGACGGCACGAGTATGCTGAGTGGGTCCTTGACACGTCCGTGGCGATATGGCAGGAATTCTGCGCCAAATTTCTGGCTTTGTGGGCCGACGCGGCGACGCATCAGGGAGAAGGTTTCAAGCGAGTCGCCTACGCAAAGCCCGAGGAGCTGAGAGCAGCCCAGGAAGCGTTTGTGCAAGACCTCCTACGGGACACGCTGGGCTTTGCCGGTTGCAAAATGATTCGGAGGATCATCGGGATCGCGCACGTGGAGGACTTGGAGTCGATCGCGGATCCTCAAGTGCGGGCGGCCTGCGAGAAGCGGGCATTGAGCATGGCTCGGACCTTGGTGGTACACGGAAGGGAGTACGCGAGCATGGAGGCAGTAGCGGCCTTAGCCCGGAAAGCCTGAGTCTCGAGGCTGGATGTAGGGGTCCGGGTGAACGCCATTGCAAGGGGCTTCGGAGGAAGAGGTATGCAAGAAATTAGACCGGACTTTTCTTGGCTGGACATGGACGGCCGGTTGTAAGCACAATGATGATGAAAGCGAAATGGTCCTTACGTGAAGGCGGAGGAAAGGCGTGGGGTCTGTGGCTCCAGCCCTTGACCTGTGTCTCGGTTCTCCCCCCCTTCGTTTTCCCAGTGATGTTTCTTTCTCATTTACGCTGGCCGTGCAAAATTTCAGATCTGCCACGCCAATTGCTGGATATTTCCTCCTCTCCCTTGTCGCACATTTGGAGACGTACCCAACGTCTGAGGTTCCGAACAGCAATCAATTTTACAATTCTTTCCCACAAATTACCCTCGAAGTCAATTTCTCCCTGGTACTTTGCCCTTCCCCAAAGCCTTCCTCTAACTCACACCTCCCAAAGCCAAGAGTCAACGTGACCTATCGAGGCATTCATGACGCCGCATAGCCTAAGACATGCTCAAACAGCGCCTTGCCCGTCATCTCAGGTCCGTCTTAAGCATCTCCACATGCATCTGGGGGTCCATGCATTGGGGCATAACGTACAAGTAGGAATCCGGGTTGGGTTTGTAGTAGTCCTGTCTCCCGTCTCGTCTCCACCGGGGGTCATTTCTGGACGCCTGACAGACCAATTCCTTCCTTTCTCCCTCCTGGCTGCTGCGATTGGCCGCTGAGAGGGCTTCTTTACTCCGTTCCTGAGCCCCGACTTGTAGCTTTTCTTTTTCAAAAGCCGCCAAACGGTCGGTCACCAGATTTTTCGCAAATTCGTACAAGAGTAGGTCCCACGTATTGGCCCGCCAGACCGACGCAAACATCTCCCGGTCGATTTCCGTGTCGTCACGCAGGCGGATCAGCTTGTTCCTCTGGTTCATCCCCCTGCTAGGATCCTTCCCCTTTTCCCCCAAGCTCTCTTGCACGTAAGCCGTCTGGTTCGCCCACCCCATCCATTCCGTGATCATCACCACGTCAAAACTCGCGAGGATACGTCGGGCCAGCTCGTAGTCGTGCTTTCCAACCTCTGCGTAGGTGTTATGCCGGTATCGGTTTGTCAACGTTTGCACGTAGTAATTGTCCACCGAGTACCAGACTCCCCGCGCACTCGCCCGGGTCCAGCGGACGTAATCCATCTGCCGGACGTACCGAACCCAGTCTTGGAAGGAAAGGGGCACGGCAGCTTTCGCCTTGGTCTCGTCGTAGATCGCGGCAGCCAAGGCGGGGTCCGTGCCGGGAACCAAAGGGGCAGGTTTGTAGTCGTACCGACCTTCGTACCAGTAGGAGGACAAGATCCGCGCCAGAGGCTGTCGCAGGGAGGTCAAAATCATCATCTCACCCTGGTCATGGAAGCAGGACACATTGAATGTGCGCCCTTCGGCCACGTAAACCAGTTGTTCGCGGTCATTCTCCACCAAGGCACTCAGATAATTCCGTAAGGTCGTTCCACCTGCTTTTCGCATGTGCAACAAGAAAGCGCTGCCCTTGCGCGCCCGGAAACAAGCCTGTGTCTGTGCCATTTCTTCCTGTCTTCGAAAAGGGCGCACGGATTTGGTGGATGTCAAAGCTTCGAAATCAGGACGCCCCCGTAACTCTGCTTCCAAAGCACGCCACAGGCTGCCTCCCACCAAAGGTTCTTTCGCCTCCATTTTTTCCACTTCCACATTCTTGCGCTTTCTGGTGATATCTTGAGTGTCCGTGGACGCCCTTGACGCACCGCTTGCGTCCACCTTGGCCCAGTGAGCAAAGGGGGCTTTTGCTAATGCGGTCACGTCGCCGATCCTCAGTCGAGTCTTTGCGGTCTGCGAATGCAAACCCCGGGCAGACATTTCCGTGGTGGCAGCTTTTTTGGGGGCATACATGTTTGTAAGGAGGACGCCAAATCCCACGGCGAGCGCGGTCATGATGGTCAATGCCCGTCTAAAGCGCGGAAAGGTTCTTGGAATGTGGGATGTCATTCTGAAGATGGTTCAGGCTTCAAAGTGAGAAGGCGCTGCACTCGAATAAGTATGTGCTTCGAAATTCGTCTGACAGCAGAAAAATCGCACGATTGCCGCTGTGCGGTTTGAAGACAAGACTTGCAAGTGCCTGGTTAGATGCTGGGTTTTATTATTTGATTAGACGCAGACTTTCTATGGGCCTAGGTGTTGAGGCAGAGAAGCCGGCGAAAGCGCGCTGTGAGGCCAAATTGGGACACAGAAATTGCAGAAATGCGCTACTACCCCTGTAGCCTGTGAGAAAATCTGTCCGGAATGGAAGGGTGCAAGGTTACGATTTAAAGGGAGACAAAGAGGTTCGTGGCAACCAAGGAGCTCGTTTGACCGCCTTCGAACTGGTCCAAGACCAACTTCCGGGTA